CGCCGGCCCGGAGGCGCGCCCCGAGAGCGGCCGGGCGCTGGCCACGGGCCCAGGAGCCTCTTACCTCCTGCCGGGCCCGGCCGCCCGCCCGGACCCCGAGCCCGAGCCCGACCGGCAGCTGCCAGAGCTCGGCCCGCTCCTGTCCTGGACTGCAGAGCCCGAGGATTACGGCCCCCCGGTTTTCCCGGACAGCGCCTGTCTCCGTGTGCCCGGCTTCAGCCACAGCCAGCACAGGAGGCCCGAGGTCGACTTCTTCCCTTGCTTCCCCGCGGCCTCGGTGGGCGAGCTGACGCTGGAGGTGGGTCCCGAGGACCCGGACCGGCCTTCGGACTTCAGCCAGACGTGCCCCCTAACGAGCGAGCCCGCGGCGTGTCCGGAGGACGGCCCCCGCCTGCGAGCGGTGTTCGACGCCCTGGACGGCGATGGAGACGGCTTCGTCCGCATCGAGGACTTCGTGCAGTTCGCCACGGTCTACGGGGCAGAGCAGGTAACTAGGCGAGCGCGCCCGGGCCCTGCCGTGGTCGGCAGTGAGCGGCTCACACCGGCCGTCCCGCGCTCTCCTTTCGGGGCTTCTTGGCTCGGCTCTGCCTGAATTTCCCTGGACTTCCTTTCCTGCCTTGCAGGAGCTTCTTCTGTTCGAGGGAGTCACCTTCTCTCCCTGCGCGGGGGGCCGCCCGCCCCGCACCACACCACACCAGCTGGTTTTTCCCAGACGGAGAGGCGCTTCTGGCGTGGGGACATGCCCCCCGGCTCTTCCCGCCGCCGAGGGTCACGCTGATGGACACCTGTCTTGAGCACAGTTACTTCACTGTGCGTGGTTGGCAGTGTTCTTCCCGGGCCGTGGTTTACTGTTCGGGACACCGTGGTCGCTCAGAGTTTTCGTGTCTAACCCTCTGTGTCCGAAGGAAGGAAATACACCCCAGGGGAAGGGAATGGGCCCTAGAGCCGGGTGGTGCGTGCAGACTGGAGAACTCCGCTCCTGTAGGAGGTGAGCGGTGTAGACAGGTGACCAGGATGCACAGGGCCGTGTGTCAGTGGGCCCACCCGGCCTCCAGGGCTGCGGCTGCTCCGGAAGAAGGTGGGCCTCGAGGTTTGTCCTCCCCCTGTGTCTCGGCACTTAGGGACGTTTAGGTCAGGGTTGTGTGTTCTGACATCCGCTGTTAAATACTTTACTTAGTCGTAGGAAGTTCCTACAAGGTTGATTTGCTAGTTTTTACATTTTATTGACTTCTCACACGTGCACGCGTTTGGTAAGTGGGTGTTAGGGTTAGGACTAGAGGTTTCTAAGAAAACAGGTAAAGTTGACACCGTGCTGTTTAGGGTGTCAGTTATAACATGTATGAACCTTTATAGGGGACCCATGTGTCCCCCTGAGTATTCACAGGGTGCCTTGAGCTGTGAAGACCTGGGTCCTGAATCAGCCCGGGAAGAGGTGCGCGTCCCTGTGGGCATCCTGAGCGTTGGCGTCAGTGTCCTGCCTGCATTTAGCTCTGTGTTGGAAGACATTGCTGAGGATGGGCCTCCCATCTCTTAGTGTCACTGGCACAGAGACATCATAGGACTGGCAGTTTCCCGTATTGGCAGCGTGGATTGTGATTGCTGGTTCAGCTTGCTTTCTTCTTTTCTTTTCTTTTCTTTTCTTTTCTTTTCTTTTCTTTTCTTTTCTTTTCTCTTCTCTTCTCTTCTCTTTTCTTTTCTTTTCTTTCTCTTCTTTCTTTTCTTTCTTCTTTTCTTTCTTTCATGTTTATTTATTTTGAGAGCAGGGAGGCAGAGAATCCCAAGCAGGCTCCGCGCGGTGCGAAGAGCCGGATGTGGGGCTTGATCCCATGAACCATGAGATCGTGACCTGAACCGAAATCAAGAGTCTGATGCTTAACCGACTGAGCCACCCAGGGGCCTCTTGTTCAGTTTCTTTTGATGCTTTTCCTTCATGCCACTGGGCTGGAGGACACCTCGGCATCCTTGGTTGCCGTGTGTGTGCGAGTGTGTGAGTGACTAGTGCCATGTGTCTCCTCCCCAAACATACCCTTCCTCTTTACACCAAGCAGCGATTTTAGAGAAATACAACATTTGATCTTGTTATCATAACCTGACTCTGTGGCTCGTGTGAAGTTCGTGTATGTTTTCACTGGAATACCGCCTTTTTCTGAAGTGGTAAGCAGGTGGTTTTCTTTCTTTTTTTTTTTTTTTTTTTTAATTTTTTTCAACGTTTATTTATTTTTGGGACAGAGAGAGACAGAGCATGAACGGGGGAGGGGCAGAGAGAGAGGGAGCAGGCTCCAGGCTCTGAGCCATCAGCCCAGAGCCCGACGCGGGGCTCGAACTCACGGACCGCGAGATCGTGACCAAGCAGGTGGTTTTCATGTCACTTCACAGGTAAGGAACCGGAAGCCCAGGAAGGATGAATCACTTTCCCAAGACCTGACAGATTGTCAGTGCTCCAGCAGGGACTCTCACTAGGTCTTTTGAGTCATAATCTTTAGGTAGCTCTCACCTTACTAGATTTGGTGGCTCAAAGTGTTTCCACAAAGTTTCGTGTTACTTACTGCCATAAAATCCGTTTCATTTGAGAAACACCTTTTGTAATTGTCCTTGTCTATCACAGTGGGAAAAACTTGGGTGCTGTTTGGGGTTGAGCTTTCTTGTGATCACAGAGTGGAAATGACTCAAAATTCTTTGCTCTTATAGCTCCTGGTGGAATTTTAAATTTGGCGTCAAAGCCAGATGACTTGGGGTTTGGTGGAATGGGCGAGTATCCGGAGATTGCTCGTGGCATTGCCCCTTTCGTCTGCTGGCCCAGACTGCAGGAAGAAGCAGTGCTGGGTGTGATCTCAGCTTGACTTGGACAGACTTCCTGGGATGGTGGAGGAGAGCTCTTGTTTTGGAGCAGATAATTTACGGAGTAATGAAAGGTTGATTTTTGTGTCTGTGTAAGCTTTAAGCTTTGCTAGCCTTTATTATGACTCAGGATTGCTTTTTCCAAGTCTGATGTCAGAATGCATTATAGAAGAGCAAAGAAAAGAAATATTTTCTGATGGTGAAGTCGTTTAAGGAAAAGTGAAGATTTCTGCCTCATGATGAGTATTTTTAAACTTTTAAATGAAAAGTCTTAAACATGTTCAAAGATAGAGGGAATGGTCTAGTGAAACCCCCCGCCTCAGTCGTGCTAGTCTTGGCTAATCTGTCAGGTCCCTCTTTCACACCGTGTGGGAAGTGCACACCTGACATTAGATTCCATCTGTATGTATTTCAGTGTGTGTCTCTAAAAGATAAGGATTCTTTTTTTAAACATTTGTGATTTAAAAAAAAAAAAAAACCCTAGGAACAGATAAGGTGGATAAGAGCAATAACGATAAGTTTTTGTACTTTCCACCTTGAGATTTCAAAATATTGAGTGCATGAGACTCTTACCCCGGTCACATTACTGTCTTTGATGATAGCAGCTCATTATCTTGATTATTGTCAAATTTTCAAAGGTAGCACGTTGAATAATCTGTTTATGAAGGAAGCATTTTAATTTTTTTTTTTTAACGTTTTATTATTTTTGGGACAGAGAGAGACAGAGCATGAACGGGGTGGGGCAGAGAGAGAGGGAGACACAGAATCGGAAACAGGCTCCAGGCTCTGAGCCACCAGCCCAGAGCCTGACGCGGGGCTCGAACTCACGGACCGCGAGATCATGACCCGGCTGAAGTCGGATGCTTAACCGACTGCGCCACCCAGGCGCCCCTGAAGGAAGCATTTTAAATTATTTAAGCTGATTATCTGAATTTTTAATGGAAGCAGCTCCTATATATAATACAGAAGGCTTTTGTGTCCCTCTTTCTTTAGTAATGTTATGGTGTGTGTGGCTCCCCTTACATCATCTGGTTGGTAGATCAGGTGTGGTGTAACATAACACAGTGTTAGTTATCAGCAGAGGGAAGGAGGAAAAGGACTATAGTGGAGCTTTCTGGTTGTATCTTACTGAAGCAGGAATTCATAGGCACTAGTCGTGAAGTTGGAATAGGTTATTTAAAAAACAATTTTTTTAAACATTTATTTATTTTTGAGAGACAGAGAGACAGAACATGAGCGGGGGGGGGGGGGGCCCGCAGAGAAAGAGGGAAACAGAATCTGACACAGGCTCCAGACTCTGAGCCATCAGCACAGAGCTGACGTGTGCTCGAACTCAGGAACCGTGAGATCATGACCTGAGCCGAAGTAGGACGCTCAACTGACTGAGCCACCCAGGCATCCGTGGAATAGGTTATTTTTAAGGCCTCAACCATTTCTGAAGATTCTTCATTGACATGACCCTTTCATACTAAGAGGGCTGATGCTTTTGTAGCCACTAGCAACTCATCCTAAAACAGAATTGGCAAAATAAATTCCAAGAGTATTGTAAGAAAGGATTGGTTTCTTTTGGCTTTACTTTTGAAAGGAATTAATTACCACTGTAAAGATTGTGTTCATGTTTATTACTACACTCACTTCAGCATTTACATTTAATAGTTATTGATCCTTTCCAGAGTACCTACACATTGAAAGACTGAATGCCCTTCACTGACCTTGTAGGCACTGTCCTCTTCAGTGCTTGCATGAGTAGGCTGCTGAAGGAAGCGTTGATGCTCAGGTCTCCCTGCTTCTTGTTCCTGCCAGGCTGCTGGCAGGCAGTTGGAAGTCCCTAGAGACACGGCTGCACCTTTCAGTTGCCTCAGTGTCCTTCCTGGTTTCTTTCCTAGCCTTGAATTTGAGTGTGGGTGTATCTGTGTACATGAGAGAGAATGAATGCCGGTGTGTGAGCAGGTGCATGTGGGAGCTGGAGTGGGGTGTGCGTGCATACTTCTGGGTCTGTGTGTTGGATGAATTACTAAAAGGCAGATGAGGTCCCTTTCTGTGCTTGGATCACAGGCAATTTTGCTAGTGTTTTAAAAGCATCTTTTTCATATTATAAAAGTAACACATGCTTATTAAAAATTGTGAAAACAAAGAGTAATGTAAAATATAAAAGAAAAAAAGTGACCAATAATCCTATTTTCCTGAGAAAAAATATCACTAACATTTTAGTGTATCTCCCTACAGACTTTTTTTGTACACACAAGCACACACATACACAGAGCTTTGTACACAATTGAGATCATAGTGGGTAAAAGCTAAATTATTTTTATAGATGTTCATTGTTTAAAAACATGAGACTAAGTCATATCAGTAAGCAAAAAACCACCTATAATTTCACCACCCAGAGTAACTACTTAAAATTTTTAAATGTAAATTAAAATATATGTAATGAATGCTTCATTGTACAAAAACGGTGTAATTCCCATGTCTGTTGTTCTGAACCCACTTTTTGACCTGTTTTTGAAATTAAAGATCTCTGATACCAGTTTACTTGTTTCCAGGAAGATTCAGAATTGTTAGGCGTTATTCCCACACAGAAACTGACATATAGGAAGAATTTAATTCCATGTAGACCGCACAGACAATGTTGTAAAGCACACCAGACTC